GAGAAGCATGTATCTATATAGGCAAAACTTCAGTTTTCAAAACTCCATAAAAATGATAAAATTACAAAAATAATTACTAGAAGTAGAAACTTCTAATAGATAATATTTCAAGTACAGAAACTGTGACAAATAGACAACATTTGAGGTAACAAAATGTATTTGAGTCTTGGGGATTTTTCTACCTCTTTTTCCCTGAAATTAATTAAAGACAAAGGTCAGAATAGCATGTTTCACAATATACTTCTGTATCCAGCAGCAACTTTTGCCTTTCTGCTTCTCCTAAAAAGCCAAAAATAGATAAGCTATATTCCTTAAGAGTTGAGCAGAAGCCCCATTTACAGAAAAACTAAAAGCATGTTTTAAATAAATGTATACATGTCTAAATAAACAATATATAATTGTACACACTAATACTTTCTAGAGTAAAAATAAATAATATATTTAATAAAATAATAAATCTGTTATACAACTATAAAAGACAAACACATTCATAGAAACCAAAGTTTTCATCCGATTAACTAAACTCTACCCTTAACTATATACACATAATGTACAAAACGAGCAACACAACCTCACTACCAGTATATTTGTTCCATCTTTTGTTCCTACTTGGCACTACAGAATGCCCATGGTAAAAAGTATTAATATAAGTACTTTTTATATATATAGTAATTCCCACATTCCTCACTGTGGCCTCAGAAAATATTGCTTCAAAATTTCCAGAAATTAAACATCTCTAATATAAAGGTTTTCACAAGTAATCTAGATTGTGGATTTCATTTGATAAAATGGGAGATAGGAACATGCTCCTTTTAGTTATCATTTTAAGTCGCGCATATTAAAAACATCATTTATTATTTATATCAGGCTAATTTTACACTGGACATTACAAAAATGTAGTGGCCACTGTAAAATTAGCCTGGTATAAATAAGTAAATGATGGTTTTATTCTTTACAAAAATGTAAAAAAAAAAAAACACCAGTGTTTTCTGAAAATTCTAATGCCCCTCCATAGTCAGCATTTAAAAGAGTTTTTCTATACCATTCCAACATGAATTGTTGTTTTCAAGCATCCTCTACTACTCCTGTTATTAAACTAGCCTTGATGAAGATATACTTTTGCACATTACTGACCTTAAGCAAAATAATATAAGGAAGGAAACCTGAAGGTAAATGTTAACATGAGAAAAAAAATGACACCTGGAGGGAGATAAGCCTCAAATAAGGGGGTATCATTTACATATACTTGCCCATATATCTTTGAATTTGGAATTCTCCTTTTAATACAGGTGGCTCTCAACTTACAACATTTGGGACCACAACTTTTCATTGCCAAAAAATGCAGTAATAAACTATTACCACATCATATAACAATCCCTTCAGAATTGGTTGCCATTGTTAATTGAATCCCACAGTGCTCAGGCAAGGCAACTTTCTGCTGAATTCTCACAAGCAAAGTCAGTAGGAAGCCAGCAGGAAGTTTCAAATCCCAGGCTGGCAGGCAGATAAGTGGCTGCTGCCAGATAGGAGGGATTGGGGGAAGGAGAGCAGGGATACAAAGGAAGTTCAGGGAGCATGTGTGGTGGTGCACAAAAGGTCAAGGTAAGATGCTGGGGAGAGTATGAAGGTGGGCAAAGACTTTCCCCAACGACTTGCAATCTTCCCTGCTGGCTCCCCCATTGATTTTCTGGACAAACTGGCACGGAAGGTTACAAATGGTGATCAAGTGATTGCAGAGTGCTTGGCAACTGGTCATAAATGCAAATGGGTTGCCAAGCGTCAAGATTCACAAGAAGTATTAGTATCACTTTATAAAATCTTAATAAGGGCGTATCTGGAATACTGCATTGAATTTCAGTCACCACATTATAAAAAGGATATTGAGACTTTGGGAAGAATGCAGAAAAGAGCAATGATTAGGGTGATGATTAGGGGCTTAGAGACTAAAACAGGGGTCCCAACCCTCAGGCTAATGAGCCTTTTGGAACCGGGCCGCAGAAGTGGCAGATGAGAGCGCGTGGGCACATCCCCATTTGCATGAGCAGCAAGCGAGTGTGTGATTGCCCATTACCTTGTGAAAAACCATCCCCTCACCCACCCACCCCCTGCCAGTCTGCAAAGCTGGAAAGGTTGGAGAACCCTGGACTAAAATGCATGAAGAACAGTTGCGGGAATTGGGTATGTCTAGTGTAGTGAAAAGAAGGACCATGGGTAACATGATGGGAGTGTTCCAATATTTGAAGGGCTGCCACAAAGCAGAGGGGAAGGATCAACCTATTTTCCAAAGCACCTGAAGGCAGGACAAGAAACAAGGGATGGAAACTAATCAGGCAAAGATGCAACCTAGAACTAAGGAGAAATTTCATAACAGTGAGAACGGCTTGCCTTCAGAAGTTGTGGGTGCTTCATCACTGGACACTTTTAAGAGACTGGACAGCCACTTGTCTGAATTGGTAAAGCTTGAGCAGGGGTTTGAACTAAAAGACCTACAGTCCAAGGTCTCTTCCAACTCTATTATTCTGTATACTGTAAGATTAAGATCATATGATCAGAGGGGTGCTGTAACAGCCCTAGCTTCAGGGACTGATCATAAGTTGTTGTTCAGCATAATTTCGAACAGTCATTGAACTCATAGTTGTAAGTCAAGGTATACCTGTACAACAAAACAAACCTGGGCTGCTCACATTCATATATCCTTTGAACCACTAATTTTAAATCCAGCCCTTCTAGACCAAACATTCTCAAATTGTGAGGTATATCTCCCTTGGAGAGGGCAGACAGAGTCCAGGGGATATTTGTTACATTGTTTATTGCTGCAATAATCCATCTTTCCCCCAGTTTCACTGTACAAGGTAGTCTTTAACAACTGCCTTGTTTAGCAACCATTCATAGTTATTGATAGCAATGAAAAAGCAAGTTTATAACTTGTTCTCATACCTATAACTGTCACAGCACACCCACTGTCGTGTGATTGAGGTTCAAGCTCTTCACAACCAGTAAGCATTTACGACTCTTGTAGTGTTCCGTGATTATGTGATAACCGTTTGCATATTTCACAGCTAGATTCCGACAAGCAAAGTCAATGGAGAAGATGGCAATAAAATTGCAAAGTTGCAGTTACATGATGTCTTACTTAACAACCATGGGTGATTTGTTTAACAACTGCAGGACAAATGAAGTTGTAAGTCTGGCAGGGTTACGTCGTGTTTTGCATAACAACATCACTTAGCAAGAGTTGATGGTCCCTATTATGGTTCTTATGTGAAGAGGCTACCTGTATTGTTCTCATTGTTCATTTTATTCATTCTGGATTTTTAAGGATAATATGCACATTAAAAGGGGACGTGGTAGCTCAGTGGCTAAGATGCTGAGATTGTCGATCAGAAAGGTCAGCAATTTGGTGGTTCGAATCCCTAGCACCATGTAATGGCTGAGCTCCTGTTACTTGTCCCAGCTTCTGCCAATCTAGAAATTCAAAAGTATGTAAAAATGCAAGTCGAAAAATAGGGACCACTTTGGTGGGAAGGCAACAGCGTTCCGTGCGCCTTCGGTATTTAATCATGTTGGTTAAATGACCACAGAGACTTCGACTTTGTTACGGATATGAGCACTGCCCTGTAGAGCTGGAAACGACCGGCACATATGTGTGAGGGGAACCTTTACTTTACCTTTATGTCCATTAAGATTACACCAAAGGCACGTGTGATAGCAAATACTTTAGGAACCATGTTCTAGTTAGAAGTCTGAATCTTAAGAACACATTGAATGTTATTATAGCCTAAAACAAAGGTCCTAACCCCCGGGATGCAACCTGGTCCTGGGCTGTGGCCTGTTTGTAATTGGGCTGCGCAAGCCACGGGTGAGCTTGCAAAGCGGCATTTGCCCAAGTGGTGCACACATGTGTGAAACCATCCCCTCCCCACCCCCCACTGCCGCCTTTGCCGCTGCCAGTCCACAGAGCTGGAAAGGTTGGGGACCGTTGGCCTAAAAGATTGCAGCTGTATATAGTTCCTAAATTATTTCACAAAACTTTAAAAACCTTTTTGTTAAATATTGATATTTAATATTGATATTATAATAAGTCTAAATCTGCAGATTTAACCAGACATTGTTAATATAGCAGTGGAAACAAATCCAGATCTCTTTAGAGCAAGCCAGCATGGTAGATGACATTAGATCGTGGCAGTTGTAATCGAAAAACATTTAAGGTCACATTGTCCACCCCTGTTTTAAAGAAAAGGATTCTTCTGACTGTAAGTTGAGGCAGTTCTCAACTTATGACCAGACTCTTGACTGTTCAAAGTTACAATGGACTTGCCAGGGCTACATATGACACTGATTTAAAATTCACACTTGGAGCACTCAGTCTGTACTGAAATCTCTTGCTGTTAGGCATATGCGAAACTCACTGATGAAAGAGTGGAACCATTCCAGAACATTCTGATTCTCCTCCCAATGATGTTCACCCAGACCATGCCTTTCTGGGGGCAGTTTAGTACTTTCCAAAAGCAAATTCTGTGAAATATAAGTTTGAAATATTCTACAAGCAGTCCTCAACTTACAGCCATTCGTTTTGTGACATTCAAATTTACAGTTGCACTGAAAATAGTGACTTATGTACAGTTCTCACACCATTGCAGCATCCCCATAGACACATCATAAAAATTTAAGTGCTTGGCAAACGGCATGTATTTACAATGGTTGCAGCCTCCCGGGGTCCTGGGATTGTAATTTGTGACCTTCTTAGGGAGCTTCTGACAAGGGGGAAGCCAGATTCGCTTAAAAACTGCATGATTCACTATACTGCAGTGACTCACTTAACAACCATGGCAAAAAGGTCATAAAAAGGACAACTGCCTTCTCATTTAACAACTGCCTCGCTTAGCAATACAATTTTGGGTTCTGTTGTCATAAGTAGCAGACTACCTGTATTCCTGAACTGTTAAACATTTAAGAACATTATCTAAGAAAAACAAAACATTACAGAATAAATTATTTACCTGCTGGTGGCTTTATAAAAGGTGGTGGAATTAATGGTACAATAATGGGTACATTGCCATGTTCCTTTGATCCTGCTGGTGAGTCTGAGATTCCATTTCCTGTGGTAAGCCCTGGATAGTTTGTGTTTATATTGTACGGTGACATAATACTGTCTTCAGGTAATTTTGTTTTTGGCAAAGAATTTTCTGTGAAGGAAAAATAATTAATTTTACAATATATTACAGCTTTTGATCAAATACTGCATATGTATTGTTTTCCAACTTGATTAACAATGAGCAGTTAATATACTCTTATTTAGCCAAAACTGTCAGATTTCCAGGATGAACCTAATTTGTAGTTTAATATATCAGTAATCTTTCCAAAATTGCACTAAGCAATAGTGCTCAAATACAATAGGAAACAAAACTCAGATCTCACACAGATTATAATCAGAGTTTTAAAAACTCATAGCATCTAAACACAACCATAAACTTCATTAATCTTGCCCAATTCTACACTTTCAGAGTGAAGTCCCAAAGCTAAATGGGACAAGATCAACATTTTATAATAATATTATGTAAATATTATTTCTCATTTAAATACTGTATTAGTATTTACTGTATTTTAAATAGATTAAAATCTATTTACAACAATTTAATTCTGTATCCACATTCAGTATCCACATATTATCAAGACATGTAACTGAAGTATTTAACTTCAGTATTTAACTTGCATAATTGCAAAAAGTATCTTACTAATACGAAATATGCCTAATAATAAAAGTTTACCAAGACAGTTGACAAGCATCAATAAGGAAAAAACATTATTCAGCCTTTGTGTTCACATAGAACAGTCAACCAAATACTAAGAAATCTGTTTTCATGACTTAGCAAGTGTTCTAGGGCATTTTTCAAGCCTCCTAACTTGAATCCTCCAGTTAGTAGTGATTAAATCAGGAATCAGCATTTCCCAACTTGGATGACCTTGTGATGTGTGGTCTTCAGTTCCTAACATTCTTAGCAATGGCCATGGTGGCTAGGGAATTCTGGGAGTTGAAATCTATTTATCATATGGTCAGGATGAAAAATACTGCTGTTGATACTGCTCTGATTTTGTCACTTTGTATAAAATTAAACATCTTGGAAATGACATGTATTTCATTCTCTAAATTTAAGGAGAGCATATCCTAATATTTAGAGAAGCAAGAAATTTCTGTAAGAAGACCAGGACAGTCATATTTTGCTAAAATGGAGAACTTATTTAACAGTAGAGGAATGTAAAAAGGAAATTAAAATGGAAAATCAAAAAAACCCAGGATGATTGGAGTTTATGCAAAACTACGATAATAGCTCAGATAGAATGCCTACTGTAGGGCAGGAAAAGTGCAACCTAATGCAAGAAATCACATCCATGTATAATGAGTTGTGTCAAGAAAGCCATTAGAGAAGACTTGCGCTAATGGGGAGAACCAAAGCCATCCAAATTCATAAAAACGAATCCTTGGAAAAGATTCTGAGCAGCATACTGTTCAGCATTAAGATCACTAATTTAGAAATATATCAGAAGAAAAAAAAGCTGGGTGAAAAAAGACGACCGAGATAAAGATATGTAAAGCAGAATTAAAGCCAGATGAACAGAAAATGGTTCCTTCACTAAGGAAGACACAGAATTATCTAATACCTGACCTGAACTGATGTTTTCAAAGTTGAGTCAGATGAACTGTTGGAAATAAGGACAAGATGAATTTTAGACCTCAATGTTCTTAATGACATGTGAATGATAAGATGAGTTTTAGATCTTAATGACAATGTGAAAAGAAACAAATTAGCAGATGTTGATGCTATACATCTGAGTATCATATCCAATGCATACATTTTTGATGTACCATATTACATTGGTAGACCAGCAATGTAATATTTTGGTTGCATTTTGTTGCACATTGCTGGCCTGCAATAAATAAATAAATATTTATACTCCTAATATAATAAGGCTATCAGAACTAGAGTATAAAATTATGGATGACACCATAAAAAATTGTAAGCAGTATTTATGTAGATTTTTATAGTCCTGATTTGGAATCTCTATTACCAATTTTAAAGAAGTGTTCCTGGTAATTCTAAACCCAGCTAGTATGTGTTCTGAATATATTGTGGAAATGTTGAAAAAAGCATGCACAAACCAACATCCATTCATCTACTCATATTTGTACTTGAAATCCCAAATCTGCCCCACTATTCTAAACAGATGAAAGATTATCCCATTCTGTATGAAGGAAAACTCAGCAACAAGATTACACATACACACACACAAACACACACATTCGATTCAAACTCCACATAAAAATTTCTGGAAGGAAGCTTTACTTGTCACTCACAATACTGTCTCTCCACTATTAGCAGAAACACACAATAAACAATCTTTTCTCTATTTCCCCACCCGTACATCATCTCATTGCTAATTATAATATTTTTCAAGTGCTAAAATAGGACTATACAGAATTCCAGCACAGACCCTTCTCAGAACTGGTAGTTTTAGCAGTTGAACTGGAAGATGCATTAATAGCGCTCTATGATCAATCACAGAATTTGCTCAGAGTACCTGCCAAAGCAGTTGGTAATATTCTTAAGGACTGAGATACCTATGAACAACTATATTGTTCATATAGGCAAATGTCTAGTGGCAAAATAATTGTTCTAAGTTCATAGGTTGCAACCTTAGAAGACAGCAATACCAGTTAAAAAACAAAGCAAAGAGCATATATATTCAGTTTTCAGTGAAGGGTAAATGTGGTTTTCATACATACTGATCTGAGGTTGGGGTTAATTGTCTGGTACATAATTCAGGAGTGTTAATGCAAGCTAAAGCACCAGTCTTCAATTGATTAAAACAACCACATCTTTTGCAAGTCTCATGCAGCTGCTGCACTGCACACCAGAACATGAGGACAGTTTTTTCCCAAACGGCATCACTCTGCTAAACAAATAATTCCCTCAACACTGTCCAACTATTTACAAAGTCTGCACTACTATTACTGTTAATCTTCTCATCACTTCTTATCACCCATCCCCTCCCACTTGTGAATGTATGACTGTAACTTTGTCACTTGTATCCTTATGATTTATATTGATTGTTTCCTAGTATGATTTGATTGCTTATTGTACCCTATGACTATCATTAAGTGTTGTATCTTATGATTCTTGGCTCTTGACGAATGTATCTTTTCTTTTACGTATACTGAGAGCATATGCACCAAGACAAATTCCTTGTGTGTCCATTAACACTTGACCAATAGAGAATTCTATTCTATTCTATTCTATTCTATTCTATTCTATTCTATTCTATTCTATTCTA